CGAGATGAGGCCCGGGGCCGGCGCGGCCATGGCGACGGCGGGGAGGCGGAAGCGCCCCGGGCAGCCGCCAGCGCGCCTGCGCGAAGGCTGGCCCGGCCGCACCGCTGTCAGTACCTCCGGGCGGCCGCCTACGGCACATGCGCACTCCCGCGAGTGAAGTCGCGGCTCGTCCCGGCGGTGGAGCCGAAGGGGCTCGTTGATTCTTTGCACGCTGTGCCTGAGCTCTTTGCTGGGCCGGGGCAGGCGGAACCGGTGCGGTTGATCTCAGCCTCGCGGTGTCAGGGCGGGGTCGGAGAGAGGACCCCACATCTGGGGTCCCCAAGAGGGTGGTGTGGGGGTGGAATGGAAGGAGGAGATGGGAGATTTCCTGGAGGAGGGCGCGTTTTGGTGGACCTGGAAGTTCCTGAACCTTCTAACATACTGATCTCGTTGCTCGTTGTTGTCTTCCTCTTTCATTAAAGTACAAACAACATGAGGGCAGGGTGCGTTTTATTCACTCGTGTCCCGAAAGCCCCCTGAACTATGCTTGTTGCAGAATTGGGGCTGGAAACATTCTTGTTGAATTGCTTCTGAAAATGCTCCCTGGCGATTTGTGTGCCTGAGGACCCTGAGAGGCCTCTACCCTGGCTCTTGGCTGGAGGAGCTCCTAAGATGGGGCAAATGGGTCTTGGCTGATGAAAAAGGGTATTCCAGGGAATAGCATGGGCAGGGAAGACTGGAAGCAGGAGACCTGGTGGGCCTGGCCAGCTGGGCCACTTATCCGGGTCAGAGAATTCAGGAGCCTGTGGTAAGTGCCATGAGACTTGCATGGGTAGTGCGTCTTTAAAATCAGTAACAAGTTAAGAAAACAGTCTATTTACAAAAGCACCAAAAAGAATAAGATACTTAGTAATGAACTTAATGAAAGAATCGCAAAACTTGTGCACTGAAAACTACAATACTTCGCAAAAAAATGATTTAAAGATGATCTAAGTAAATGGGAAGACATCTTCTGTTCATGGATTGGAAGATTGAATAGCGTTACGATGTCAGTACTCCCCAAATTCGTCTACAGATTCAACGCAGTTGCTATCAAACTTCAGACTTCTTTTTTTGGGTAGAAATTTATAAGCTGATCCTAAAATGCATATGGAATTGTAGGAGGCCCCAAGTAGCCACAATAATGTGGAAAGAAAAGCGAAGTTGGAGGACTCACATACCCTGATTCCAAACTTGCTGGCAGAGCTAGAGTGATCCAGACCTTGTGGTATTGGCATAAGGAGAGAGCTATCAATGTATTAGAACCTGGCAATGCAGATATAAACCCATACATCCATGGTCAGTGGATCTTTACAAACAAGGGTGCCAGGGATCATTCAATGGGCAAAGAATGGTCTTTTCAACAAATGGCACAACTGGATAGTCACATGCAAAAGAATGAAGTTAGACCCTATAATGGCAGAACGGTAGGGCACCCCCACCCCCACCCCACTGCTCCTGGCAAAGGTGTCTACACCATCATCCCCAGAACCCGTGAATAACGTTAGGTTACTTGGCAAGGGGAAATAGTGGTTGCAGATGGAATTAAGTTGCAAATCAGCTGTCCTTAAAATAGATAGCCTGGATGGGCCCCATGTAATCACCAGGGTCCTCGTAAATGGAAGAAGGGAGGGGATGAGGGAGAACCAGAGGAATGACAGCATGAGAAAGACTCAACCCACTGTTGCTGGCTTAGAAGATGGAAGAAGGGGCAATGAACCAAGAAATGTGGGTGGCATCTAAAAGCTAGGAAAGGCACGCAAGTGGGTTCTTTCAACCACTAGAGGGAAGGCAAGCCACAGGCCAATGCCTTGATTTTAGTCAAGTGAGCTCCATTTCTGACTTCTGACCTTCAGAACTAGAAGATGATAAATTGGTGTTGTCATTTTAAGCCAGTAAGCTTGCGGTAATTTGTTACATCTGCACTGGAAAACAAACACAGATCCCCCGCCTCACACGATATACAAATTAAAATGGATCGGGGCGCTTGGCTGGCTCAGTCAATAGAGCATGCAACTCTTGATCTCGGGGTTGTAGGTTTGAGCCCCACGTTGGGTGTAGGGATCACTTTAAAAAAAAATGGATCAGGGGGCGCCTGGGTGGCTCAGTCGGTTGAGCGTCCGACTTCGGCTCAGGTCACGATCTCGCGGTTTGTGAGTTCGAGCCCCTCATGAGGCTCTGTGCTGACAGCTCAGAGCCTGGAGCCTACTTCAGATCCTGTGTCTCCTCCTTTCCCTGCCCCTCCCATGCTCATGCTCTATCTCTCTCTGTGTCTCTATAATAAATAAACGTTAAAAAAAAAAAAAAAAATGGATCAAAGGCCTAAATGTTAAGGGCTGAAACGAAAAACCCTTAGAAGAAAACAAAGTCATAAATCTTTCTAAAAAGTGTATTTCTTTGAGACAGCAGAAGGCAGGCATGTGTGACTGGAGACTGACCACCCAGGCCAGACTGGAGATGAGACCAGGAAGGGAAGGGCCACATCCCTTAGCAGATCCTCTGAAGGGCTTGAGTAGGGGAGAGGCCTGGGGTATGTTTTTAAAAGATCACTTTGGCTATGACATAAAGGGATTGTGGAGGGATGGGGTGGGAGTAGGGAGGCCAGCCAGGAGCCACGTTTAGTGGGTTAGAGAAATCTAGTGCTGGCTGGGTTTGGTGGGTTTAGGGTCTGTCTTGGAGGCAAGGCTCCTGATCGATCCTTCCTTCCTTCCTTCCTTCCTTCCTTCCTTCCTTCCTTCTCTCATATCGCATTTTTTATTTTTATTTTTTAAAAATGTTTATTTATTTTTGAGACAGAGACAGAGCATGAACAGGGGAAGGTCAGAGAGAGAGGGAGACACAGAATCCGAAACAGGCTCCAGGCTCTGAGCTCTCAGTACAGAGCCTGGCCTTGGGAGGCTCTGAACTCACAGACCGTTAGTCATGACCTGAGCTGAGACGCTTTCTGGGCCGTGTCATGACCTGAGCTGAAGTTGGATGCTCAACCGACTGAGCCACCCAGGCGCCCCATTATATTGCTTTTTAAAAGATCTACTTAAAATTCAAGGAAGCAAATGGTTCTTTGGATAGGTTAGCCTCAAATAGCCCCACTGTTAAGTTTGCAATACAGATCTGACCTCAGGATGGATGTTTTTCAGCGTCGCTTCATCATGGTGTTCAGTATGAAAGCTTTCCAAATGTGTCTTCTTCTTCTTCTTCTTCTTTTTTTTTTTTTTTTTAATTTTTAACCTGATCCTTTCTAATGGATGGGCCAAGGAGTACGAGGAAAAAGAGGAATCAGGATTGAGTCCCGAGTTTCGAGCTTACTGAATTAGATGCCTGGTGGAGCTTAAGCTAACTGAGACACGGAAGCAGGTTGGAGAGAACACGCAGGTCCGTTTGTTGCCCGTGTTTTGTCTGAAATAGACATATTTCCCAAAGAAAGTGCTGGCAAGGACATGGGAAATTGGAACTCTTACACACAGTTGCTGGCGAGACCATAAAATGGTGCAGTCACTTTGAAAAACAGTCTGGCAGTCCCTCAAAATATGGAACAGTTGCCATATGACCTAGTATTTCCACACTTTGGTTTATACCCCCCCCCAATTAAAAACATATGTTCACACAAAGACTTGTACACAAATGTTGACGGCAGCACTATCACAATAGCTAAACAGGGTAAATAACTCAATGTCCATCAACTGGTCGATGGTCAACATGTGGCCCATCCATACAACGAAATATTATTTGTCCATAAAAAGGAATGAACCTGGATGAATCTTAAAAACGTGACGCCAAGCGAAAGAAGCCAGACATCAAAGACCACATGTTGTATGATTTCACTTACATGAAATGTCCAGAACAGACAAATCCATAGAGACAGAAAGCCAATTAGTGGCTGCCAGGGGCTGGGGAGAGAGACTTCTAATGGGTATGAAGTTTCCTTTTAGGGGAATCAAAGTGTTCTAGAACCAGAGGGAGGTGACGGCTGCACAACTTCGTAAACACTCAACACCACTAAATTGGGCAATTTAAAAAGATGAATTTTAAAGTATGTGAATGACACCTCAAGTGAAAACAAGTCAGTAGGGGCGCCTGGGTGGCTGAGTGGGTTAAGGGTCCAAATCTTAATTGCGTCTCAGGTCGTCCTCTCACAGTTCGTGGGACTGAGCCCTGCATTGGGCTCTGCCGTGACAACATGGAGCCCGCTTGGGATTCTCTCCCTCCGTCTCTGCCCCTCCCCTGCTCTCACACAAGCGCTCTCTCTCAAGATACACAAACATTTAAACAAAACAAAACAGTAGGAGTTGGCCAGGCATGCAGCGGACGAACAATGGTTCAGGCACAAGAGACAGCAGGTGCAAAGGCACCGAAGGGAGACGCAAGCTGGGAATGACCACTCACGGTGGAAAGAAAAGAGCCTATAGGATGGCAAGCTCCGGCCAGGGAGCCTGGACTCTTTCCCAAAGTGAGGGAGACCCTCGGAGGGTAGGAGGCAAGGTCCCAGCCCACAGCTACCTCTCCTTGGAAGGCTCTCGTGTCCTCAACTCCCCCTCCTTCACACGCCCTCTCTGGCACGGCTTCTCCCTCCTTGTCCCTCACACACCACTGCTCGACCCCACGTGCCGATGCCAGACCAGGACGAGTCTCTTCCCACGTCACAGGGACGGACATCCCCTCCGTACACATCCTGCCGGGGCCCCTCCGTGAAGGGGGGAGGCTTGAGGCCACAGATCGCCTCCTGATCCCAGCTCTTCCTCCCAGACTTAAGCCCGGTTCCTGGGGCAGGGCGGGGGTGGGGAGAGGGCGTCCCAGACCGACTCGTCTCATCCGGCATAAACAATACAAAGCTCTCAAGCCATGAAACGTCGTGGAGGGCGCCTGAGTGGAGCTTCATCCGGCTAAGCGAAAGAAGCTGGTCTGGAAAGGCTATATACATTGCGTGATTCCAAGCGCGTGACCTGGAAAAAAGCAAGACTATGGAGACGGGGGAAAAGATCGGCAGTTGCCAGGGGTTGGGATAGGAGGGGCGGAGCACCGGGGACGTTTAGGGCAGAGAAACTAGGATACTCTCACAACGGGTGCACGCATTTGCTGAAACCCACAGAATGCACAACACGGAGTGAACGCTAACATAAACCGTAGGCTTGAGAGAAGAACGCACGGACACAAGGCCCATCAACCCTAACAAATGCAGGGCGGTGATGCAAGATGTTAATGGTAAGAGAGACAGGGGGCGGGGTGACAAGAGTATATGGGAACTCTGTACTTTCCACTTTTTTTTAATAAACCTGACGTTGCCCCAATAAATAAAGTTTATGATTAATTAAAAAGACAGACACAGAGCCTGACGCAGGATTACTTTCTTGTCAGCTCGGAGGGAGCGTCTTACCCTTCTGGGACTCACAAGCTTTGGACCAAGAAAGGTCCTGCTGGCCCGCTTTCGCACCGGGAGCTGCTGGCATTGACTCCATTCCCCTGCTTGTACCTCAGTTTCCTCATCTGTACAATGGGGACCACGGCAGTTGAGGTCTCGTGGCACATTATACGGGAATGCAGTTGTTTGGTCAGCACACCAGGGGCGCTGCACCCCCAGAGGCAGGACCCTTCCCCTGCCTTCTCCTGGCCGGCTGTGGGCATCCAAGGACAGCCCCACCCATCGATGGTTCACAGAACCTACAGGCACCTCCTCTGGGACCGGGGCCGGCGCAGGGCTTCGTGAGGCCCCAGAGGCTGCAGGGAGGCAGCGAGAACGCTAACCCGAGGCCCCAGAGGCCGTGCCGATGGACTTACAGGCAACAGGGGACAGCAAGAAAAAGCCGTGTGTCTGGCTCTTGCCTGGTGAACAGGAGATCCCCAGCGAAAAGTCCTGCCTTCTGAAACCCCGAAAGCGTTCTGTGCCACATGGGGACAGACAGTAAATAACTGGGATTCAGGCACTGGACACTCTGCAGGTTTATTTCTTCAGTTCAACTAGGAAACAAAACCTTGGTGCTTGGAAAGGCCCAGCACTGGCCCCAGTGTTTGAGGGGCTGGATGCTACTGCAGAATTGGGGGGCGGGACGGACAGTCTGAGTGGCCAGGAGTCCGGGATGAGTCCGGGATGAGCCACCAATGAGGCCGACCACCAACATGAGGTCTGAACTGTCACCAACAAAGCCAGTGGGGATATTCAATGGGCTGGAACTTCCAAGGCCCCGAAGTCCATCTCAGACACCACCCCCAGGCGGGAGACCTCCCCCTACACCACCGCTGCCACTCCTGTGGGTCCCACCAGCAGCGGCGTCCGATGGGGACCCCCTAGAGTCCTCTGCCAGGGTGAGTGTCTGGATGGTGAGCCGAACAGCCACCCGGCGCAGTCTTCAAGGCTCCTCTAGCAAGAGCTCCGTGGAGGCACCTAAAAGGAGACATCTGGGCAGGGGCAATGTCTAAGGGCTCACAGTCAATTCTGGAAGCTTCCGGGCATCAGGAAGGGCAGACAGGGGACAGGAGGGAGGCCCACCAAAGACGGTTAAGTGCAAAAGGCAACTGGCCCAGCCTGGGAGAGATTTCTAGCTGGCCTGGAGGTCCCTTGACAATGACCCCCGCTGACCCCCAGGTGGGCGGGGCAAACCACGTGGATCCTCTGCTCGGGAAGGGTGATAGAGGGTCTGTCTGGAGCTCAGACTGGCCTGTGACGCCCTGGGGCCCAGCAGCCTGGGGAGGTGCGGACTGTCGCTCCTTAAGGCACAGCTGAGACTCGGGAGGCTGAGAAGCTCCACTCTGGGTCCATGACCCAGCAGGGAGGACAGCTGGGCCCTGCATGCCCACAGATCTCAGGAGAGAGCAGGGGAAAAGAAAGAGGGAAGAGGTGTGGGCATATGGGACAGCGGGGAGGCTGAGAAGCAGGGAGGAGAGAGACGCACAGAGCCACAGGCACGGGAACTCAGGCAGGAGACAGCCCCGAGGAGGAGAGAGGAGAGAGAGGGTAGCAGAGCCGTGGGCTCTTCCTGGGCTCCTCTGGCTGCTGAACACCAGGGTGGCCCCACCTGGCATGGCTGGGCCAGCCCCCCAGCCTCACTGGCAGGGCCGGGCTGGGAGTCTCTAGCGGGCGGAGGAGGAGCGTCAGAGGGCAAAGGCACCCGAGCAGATGCGAGTATAGACACTCTGGTCGAGGGGCAGGTAGTGGCCCTGCTTCAGGTCCAGGAAGAAGAGCCGGTCCGAGGTCTGGCGTGGGTCAAAGCCCTCATGCTGCAGCCGAGTCTTCTGGATCTTGAAGGTGCCTGTAGGGGTGAGGATGGGGATACTCAGCAAGGGGGTTCCAGGGACCCCCAACTCACCATCCTCTCCTACACCTCCAGGCTTCTGCATAGGCCATCCCCTCGGCTGGAAACAGTCTTCCTCATTTTGTCTGCCTGATTCTCCTTTGCCCTTCAGATCCTGACTTCATGCCCCCTCCTCCAGGGAGGCCTCCCTGACTACCCCCATCACAGCCGCATACTCTGTGTACCCCCTGCCTGGTCACACGGACAGCCCCGAGACCAAAGCAGGGCTGAGTCTGTCACACGGTAGGTCAGGGGGCAGCAGCCTGTAGCCGAGGGCCAAATTTGGCCCATCATCTGTTTTGTAAATAGTTTTATTGGCATGAAGCTATGCCTACCCATTTACACATTGTCTAGGACAGCTTTTACACCACAGAGCCAGAGGTGTATGGGACAGAGACTGCATGGCCCCAAAACTGAAAATATTTACTACCTGGTCCTTTAAGAAAAAGTTTGCACTCCCTACAGTGAACAAGTAAAGGAAGGTTTCATGAAAGATAAGCCTAGGAGCACCTGGGTGGCTCAGTTGGTTAAGCATCTGACTTTGGCTCAGCTCATGCTCTTGAGGTTCATGGGTTCAAGCCCTATATCAGCCTCTCTACTGTCAGTACAGAGTGCTCTTTAGATCCTCTGTCCCCCTCTCCTTGTGCCCCTTCCTTGCTCTCTCTGTGTCTCTCTCTCTCTCTCTCTCAAAAGTAAATAAACATCGGGACGCCTGGGTGGCTCAGTCAATTGAGCATCTGACTTCGGCTCCAGTCATGATCTCACAGTTCGTGAGTTCGAGCCCCGCGTCGGGCTCTGTGCTGATGGCTCGGAGCCTGGAGCCTGCTTCAGATTCTGTGTCTGTCTCCCTCTCTCTGCCCCTTCCCTGCTCATGCTCTGTCTCTGTCTCTCAAAAATGAACAAATGTTAAAAAAAATGTTTTTTTTTAAGTAAATAAACATAAAAAAAAAAAAAGATAAAGCTAAGGGTTCGGGCTAGTAGGAAAAAATGGTCGAGGGATACCTGTATGCTTTAGAGTTGAGAAGGTGTCTTGTTCTAAATAAAACTTCAAAAGCATAAACCATAACATTAAAAAAAAGGGGGGGGTAAGTTTGTATCAAAATTAAGGGCTTCTTTTCAACAAAAGCCCCATAAACAAGGTTAACGGTTCGACTCCCAAAATAGAAGACTTCTGATGTCCGAAACTGCTACGGAATTAACATCTGGACGATTAGGAGAAACTCTCACAAATCGAAAAGAAAAAGACAGCAAGGCTATACAAAGATGGGCAAAAGATACAAACAGGCCATTTACAGAAGCAGGAAATCTCCTAGATAACAAGATGATTTGCTCAAAGTTCCTAGTCACCAGAAAAAATGCAGGAAATGGAAGAAATGCCCCAAACACTGCAGAATGCCTAGTGGGGGTAGGATCGAGGAATGGAAATAAATAACGATGCTAGTAACACAAGAGAAAGGCCCTGCGTGAGCCCACCGTGCCTGCTGGCCACGAACCATCGTGTCAGACTTGGCACGAGGATCTGAACCAGGACAAATAAGCAAATGGTTGTTGAACCAAAAGACAGATGGACGGACAGACGGAGAGGCAAGAGGCCGCACCTGTAGTGTCCACTTGGGGCAGGAGGCGTAGGAAGATGGGCCGGGCATAGGGCGCCAGCACCTTCTGCAGCTCTTGGTACAGCACATTGGGGCTCAGCTGGCCGTGGGGGTCCGCGATGGCCGCCATGCCTGCTTTGCCCTCTACTCCTGGAGATAGAGGTTTCACTGAGAACACCCCACCTTTTGTGCCGCCGCAGGACTGAATACACCCTCAGACAGAGGCCCCTGGTCTCTGATCTCTAGTCCCTTCCATCTGACATAACGCTTGCTGAAGCAGCAATCATTATTCTTATTGAGCTTTTGCTGTACTCGCTGCAACTCTGAGACAGTTGCTTTCACGATCCCATGTACTGGATAAGGAAACCGAGGGGTTATCATCCAGGAGGGGTAACTCCAGCTCCAGTGCCCCGACGCAGGTTGCTATGTGCAGTTATCCGAGCTGAGCACTGCCCAAGAGCACCTGTACCTCCAAGCTCACGCAGGTTGGGCTCCTCTGGGGCTGCCATACCCTAGGACCACCCCCACAAACCCAGCTTGCCTGGCACAGCCACCCCGTACACAGCCACATCTGTCTGGCCCAGCAGGCGGCTGAGCACGCCCTCCACCTCAGTAGTGGAGACATTCTCCCCACGCCAGCGGAAGGTGTCCCCGCCACGGTCCCGGAAGTACATGTAGCCCAGCTCATCCATCACCAGCACGTCACCTGGCAGAGGGGAGGAGGAGAGGTAAGATGGTGGCCCGCCATCCCCACAGCCAGCCCCCAGGATCTTCGCACCTGAGAGGTAGGCGCTGTCGCCCTTGCGGAAGACACTGTGGGCGATCTTCTTGCTGGTGGCGCTCTCGCTGATGTAGCCATCGAAGCGACGCAGCGGGTCCTGCTGGTTGATCTGGCCCACGAGGAGGCCAGGCTCCCCTGGAGAGGAGGCCACCCTCAGGCTGTGCTGGGTGGGCAGGGGGCGGGGGGCGGGGGCCCCGGTTCCCCAGGGGTCTGGGCAGGGCCTGGCTCACCGGCCTGACACGGGATGCAGAGGCCCTGGGCATCCCGCAGTAGTTCCATGGTGTCCTCGTTGACCTTCACCAGCCGGATGGGGTACACATGGGGCAAGATACGACTGTTAAAGCCACAGGAGCCGACCTGGGAGGGGGCGAGCCACGTCGTGAGGAGCCCCGTGGGGCATGGTGTCCCCCCCCACTGACACCTTGCCTCTCCTGCCCCAGGGCCTGGAATTAGCACGCCGTGTCCCTGAACTCTGTGGCCTTGGGCGATCCGAAGAAGGGGGTATTAAGGGCAGTGCCGCCTTCCCAGGACTCATGCCCCTTCTCCCATCTCCCCGGCCATCATCTCGTGAGGAAACCTGCTGACTGGTCACCACTTCCTGGTCCCTAAAACCCTCTATGCTGGCAGGAAGTGAATGCCTGGGGTAACCCCGGAGCCACGTGGGGACACTGGCAGAGCTTCCGCCCGCTCCCCGCTGCATGCCACCTTGCCTGGCTCAGTCCAGTGAGCACAAATCCCTGTCTAATGGGTCTGTGCTGCCGTGTGCTGTTGGGTACGTCTGTTACGGCAGCAACTGGTGTTAATGCAGCCCAGAGTGTCTTCGACAGACATGCACGGTGGGGGCAGTGCCTTGTTCTCAGGTCCTGAGGACCCAAAACAGAGACAGACAGGAAACAAATCACTGCCCCTCCGGTGTTTGCTTTATTATTATTCTCATTAGCGGTGCCTGGCTTAGGATGGGAGGAGTTCGATAAGGCAGCAGGGTCCTGCTAAGGCAGGATGGAAATATTAATTGCAAATCATAAAAGCAATTGCAGAGAGCTTGCAACCTGGGGGTGCCGCGATGAGCTCGTGATTACGTTGGGTGATTAGAACAGGCCCAATGGGCTGTCGTCCCCATGTACAGAGGAGGAAGCCAAGGCCCAAGGAGTCTAAGTGACTTGCCCAGTAGGAGTGGATGGGCTTTGGCAGCTGGATCCCAGAGGTCGCCCCCCCCCCCACCTCCACAGGTGCAAACAGAAAAGGCTGAGCCCTTTGCCCAAGGTACACATGGCCTCACCGAGGACTTGAATTCAGGGGCACCGTCAAGCCACTAACTGTGCATGCCGGAAAACCCCTACGTGCTGGCAGTCCTCGGCGCACCACCTCTTCCTGCCCTAGGCCGCCGGCCGGGCCTCCCAGCAGATCAGGCTCGATAGAACGCGGGGCCGGGGGAGGCAGAGTAAGCGTGGCCATCCTTTACCGGAAGGTCAGGAGCCTGCCTCAGTGCCGCCAACCCAACCCCACCTTCGTCTCGGCCGTGGCGAGGCTGCAGTTACACATGCTCCAGAACTACTGCCGATCTGCGCCGCATGCAGGCTTCGGTGAATTCCTCCAGATGGCGGTCGCATCAGCCCGTTGCATCGCCCAAGTTCCTGCGGTGCCTCGCCTCTGCCCGGCTTGAGCCGCTCGTCTTCAGAGTAGCGGCAGAGTCCCGATAGTACTGGACCACCACCTGGGGGCGAGGGGGGAGGGTTGAGCGCCACGCTGGCCCCACCCCGAAAGCCACCCCACCTCAGCCTGGCAGGTAGCTGAACAAAAGCTCTTAAAGGCGATATTAAAACAGCCCCAGGCCGTTCGCCTGCCCTACTTGAATCCCGCATGAGGCAGGGGCGAGAGGAATCGAGATAAGCGTCCCCACCATGCCTCGCTCGATCCATCCCAGCTACTCTGGAGCCCCCCACGCGTCTCGCCACGGAAAGACAGACATGAGCAGGAAGAAGCGGGTGGGGTTGGCTTACCCCGGGCAGCCCTCCAGCCGCTCCACACTGTCCCCCAGAGCCCTGGTTCCAGGAGTGCCGGGCCCCAGCTGCCTCTGGCCGGAACCTGCAAAGCGCCCGCCCCCTCTGGGGCTCCTTCCTCCACACGTCTCAGGGGTCCCACCCGGGGGGGGGGGTGGGGAGTCCTCTCCAGGTGTCGCTTCAAGTCCTTATCTGAGTTTTGAGGCACTAAGGATACCCCGATCACCACCACCACCAATTTTACTAGGGGTCACAAACAGTAAGTAACCGGACCAAAGCTGATAAGTGATAGTGCTTGATTTGAATCTGGGCATCGCGGCCGGAGTGTGAACGAAACAGTTACACGCTCAGGATGAAGCACCAAGTTGATCATTACAGCCAAGTGTTTGGCGTCCCCTCTTAACAGGATAAATTTCTGCCAGTGGTCAGTTGTTCCTATGCCTTTACAACCCCTGCTCCCTCTTCCCTTTCGCACCAACACCCTGTGCCACACAGGGCTCCTCAGGGCCTTTGCACATGCTGTGCCCGCTGCCTGGAGCGAAAATCCTTCCCCAGGGATGCATCTGGGTCCCCAGGGTTTGGGCCAAATATCACTGCCGCGGAGAGGCATTCCCTGCACAGTGCTTGTTGAATCCCTGATGAATAAACACATGTGCTGAGTATTCTACCGCCAAACACAGAGCTCATCCGTTTAATTCTCCCAACACTCCACGCGGGACAGGAAGGCAAGAGATTCACAGAGGGAAACGGCCTGTCCAAGATCATCAGCTGCTGGACACGAGGCAAGCCCAGGATGGGGCAAGGTCAGAGCCTGAAGGTGGGGAGTTCTCTCCCTCGGTCCCTAGGCTCAGGTCAGTGCTTTTGCCGGGGGCCCAGCCCACGCCAACCTAAGACACAGCGGGGCCAAACAGCCCAGTCTGTCCCCAGCTAGTAATTGGTTCAAGGGTGAGCACATGACCAGAATTAGGCCAATGAGAATCAGCCCCAGACTGTCGCTACCTGAGCTGCTGAAAACCTGCCAGAAGAAACAGGGCTAAGAAGGAAGCTGCACACCTAGGAAGGAGAAAAACAGGAAATGGACAGAGACAGAGCACCTCCTGGATCAGGTCGTGCCTGAAGCTGTCCAGCTCTCAGCTGTCCTCTTCAGGCCAGGGGAGGGACAACCCAGCCACGATTGAGGCAGCGGAGGGAGACAATGACACTGCCCCTCCCCTCCCCCCCAACCATGGCCCTGAGTCTGTGTCACGCTGAAAGCAAACAGCTGATCTTTACCTCTGCCTGGACCCCGGGACAGACCCAGGGCTGAAGGGAAGACAACTCAGGTCAGCTCAGAGAGGCAGACATCAGATGGCCTATGCCAACACCTCCAGCCTGCACGGTGGCACCTGGATAGAGGCTGGGAGCAGATCATCGACCAGGGACCCTGCTACAACTCCCCCGTGTCAGGGTGACCTTGTACACTAGGTGCACGCACCCCAGTGGGCAGGGAGAGACACAGGCACCACACATTCAGCCCCCCCCCCCCCGCCAGGGATGAGGAGGGGTGGAGTCACCTGTCCCCTGCCCGTCTGCTGCTACACAGCAAAGAAAGTGGGGTTCTAATGTTTATTTATTTTTGGGAGAGACAGAGACAGAGCGTGAGCAGGGGAGGGGCAGAGACAGAGGGAGACACAGAATCCGAAGCAGGCTCCAGGCTCTGAGCTGTCAGTGCAGAGCCCGACGCGAGGCTCGAACCCACGAACAGGGAGATCATGACCCAAGCCGAAATCGAATGCTTAACCAGCTGAGCCACCCAGGAGTCCCGGAAGTGGGGCTCTAAATGACAGCCCGCTGCCTCCCCTGAGGACGGATGGACTGTTGTTTGGGCCTGGGGCCACCGCTGCAAGTAAACAGCAGCCAAGCAGTTTCCCTGTCCAACAGCCAAGGGATGGGATTTCCGAACCCAAATGCATGCACTTGTTTTGTCAATGTCCTTGTTAAACCTCTGAGTCCTTGACCTCTGAGGATTCCGTCCTCTATTCCTTAAAGAGCCCCTGAGTGTTTAGCACGTACCTTCTTTTAGACACAGAAATTCCCCTTCTTAGAAACAGACTACCAAGGGTCCAGAGACGGTGAATGATGCCCGATGCAGCACGGCATGTCAAGGACAAAGAGGGGGACCACCTGACACCACGGGCCTCCCAGTGGGAGGGCACAGCACCACCGACAAGGAATCCTTGCCAAAAAAGTTGAACTTGAAGCTGATCAAATATCTAGACCAGGGGTTCTCAACCACAGGCAATTCTGTCCCCCCAGAACACTTGGCAACATCTGGATGCATTTTGAACGGTCACGACTGGGGGGGGGGGATGCGTGGGATGCTCTTGGCCTCTAGTGATGTCAGGTCAGGAATGCCTGTCAATATCCTGCAGTGCACAGGATGGCCCCCAGAGCAGAGACTGATCCAGCCCCAAATATCCCAAGCATCATGGTGGAGAAACACTGTGCTAGACCCAACAACTCCCAATGGACAGGAAATGCCAGGGACAGAGGAACACGTTAAGAGACACTGTCTCCAGATCGGGAAAATACTACAGGACAAGCAACTTCCTTTCTTCAGTAAATACACACAAGATGGGGGAAAAAAAAAGAAACAAGAGGTTCCTACAGATGAAAGGATTCCCATGAGACACATCGACGGTCGAAATGTGTGGGTCTCCTCTAAAAACGGATTTTGTCCGAATTCTAGAAACAGGGGAAAGACCACCTTTTTGACAAGGCGAGTCCCTGGGGATTGAGCCGCTGCCCAGATTCCTGATGACACTGCGGGGGTCACTGTCACTTTCTGGCTGTGATGGCAGTGCTGAGCTTACAGGGTTTTTTTTCTTTTCTTGTTGCATTCACGTATACCTAAAATTGACCATCTGAAGCACTTTTAAGTGCACAGCTCGGTAGTATTAAGTACATTCACACTGGGAGCCAGCCATCACCATCCACCGGAACTCCTTTCGTCTTGGAGAACTGAGACTCTGTCCCCACTGGACGCTGGGTTCCCACCCCCTCCCCCTCCGGCAGCCCCGTTGGCTTCCATGTTTCAGCCCTTATAAATAGCGCTGCTGTGAACCTTTGTGTGCAAATATCTCTTGGAGACCCTGCTTTCACGTCTTTTGTTCTAGAAACAGCCCTCACCAGACACAAAAAGCCACACAGTATCTGATCCCACTTACAAGAAAGGTCCAGGACAGGCAAATCTATAAAGATAGAGAGCAAATTAGTGGCTACCCCAGGCACGGGGGGGAGGGAGGGGAACAGGGCTGGGGAGTGACTGCTGATACCGGGTTTTCCTTCAGGTGCGATGGAAATGTTCTGGAATTAGAGGTGGTGGTTACACAACATGGTGAATGCACTAAGGGTCACTAACTGTCCGCTTTAAAAATGGTTTATTTCGGGGCGCCTGGGTGGCTCAGTCGGTTGGACGTCCGACTTCGGCTCAGGTCATGATCTCGCGGTCTGTGAGTTTGAGCCCCGCGTCGGGCTCTGTGCTGACAGCTCAGAGCCTGGAGCCTGTTTCGGATTCTGTGTCTCCCTCTCTCTCTGCCCCTCCCCCGTTCATGCTCTGTCTATCTGTCTCAAAAATGAATAAATGTTAAAAAAAAAAATTTAAAAAAAAAGGTTTATTTCATACGAATTTTGCCTCAAAAGCAAAGCAGCCCTCATCTTTCAGAGGTTTTCCAGAAACATCTATGTAGGAAACACACTGCTCTCTGGGGGTTGTTTCACAATGATGCCGAAGGAGGGATGTGGGTGGGGCTAGAGGGGGCAGGACGGGGTGTTTGAAGGCCCCTGGGGCCAGTGACAGGTGCAAAAGAGAAAATCCTCCTCGGATTTCCTTCGGTTAGTGAAATCAGGTACTGATGTAGGTCTTTCCCCAAAGCAAAGCACTGTCACTGGAACTTTCAGAAAGCGGTGGGGGGTGATCTGTATTCACAACTCTCAGTAATCAAGTGGATCAAACAGACCCGCTTGCACTTCAAGACTTGGTTTAACAACGTTCCTCAAGGGCCGCCCGCAAGGAAAAAAGGAAAATCCTCAAAAGGAGAGCAAATCAGTCATTGCCCCCCAAAGACGCCCAAGATGCCAACCCAGAGCCCCCACCCTGCCTAGCTGTGTGACCTGGGCAGCTGGCCTAACCTCTCTGGGCCCCACCCATCCAAGGTGAGGTGGGCACCTGCCAACTTGCCAGTCCCTGGACACATCCCATTCTCTCCTCTCCTCACCCCTTCTTCCTGGAGGCAGGTTATAGCACCTGTATTTCTATCCTCATCAGGACACTGAAATCCGCAGCCTGGTTTCCTCTCACCGCGGAGGGGAGAAGAGAGGAAGGACCGGGTCCTAGCGCACCCCCTCCCCCCATTTTCTACAGGACTGTGGATGTCCTCATCCCACCTGAGCCCCACACCTTGTGGCCTTAACCAGCGCAGGGCGGTGACTGCACCCACAGGCCTCATTTCCTGCAGCCACCAGCAGGGAAGGCTGCTGGGGCCCAGGGCAGCGCGTTAGAGAACTCAGGCAGCCTGGCCCCAATTCCAGATGCGTTACAGGCCTCAATTTCCCCACCTGCACAATGGCCTCTGCGATGCCTCTGCCCACTCTCAAGCAGTCCTAAGATTCCATGGAGTTTGCATGTCGAAGTAAGGTTAGCCTGGGGCTGACACGGAGCACGTGCTCAAGAAGCACGGGCCACCTTCCTGTGCCCCTCCGGGGCCCTGGAGAACAGGGGGGGTCGGGGGAGTGGCTGCCCCGCAGCGGAGGACCTGCAGGTGGAGGGCGGGGCAGCGCGCGGGAGGGGCGGGGCCTGACCGTGCAGTTGTACTTGACGCAGTCATCCCAGAAGCGGCTGGCTGAGAACTTCTTGCGGAGGACCACCGTCAGCCCGTAGAGGAGACACTGCCCCACGCCCATGATGTTGCCTGCAGAGGGCGGGCTCGGTGAGGGGTCCCCAGTCCCTGCCCCACCCCCGCCCGGCCTGCCCACAGTACCTGCCGTGTGGTACAGGGGCAGGCAGTCATAGAGCACGTCTGCCACCTGCATGCTGTAGGCGTAGTGGCCGAAGGCTGCGATGCGGTAGTACCTGCGGGGGGGGGGTAGGGAGTGCAGGGGCTGGGGCTTATGTCCTCCAGGGTATGGGAGTTGGGGGAATCTGTGGCGGGGGACGGGACACAGCAGGGACCCAGGCAGAGCCAGCCCAGCTCACAGCGGGGCGGGCTGGAGACTTAACCCGCAGCCCGTGAATTTGTCTCTGTCGGGTGGGGCTAGGTGCCAGGAGGAATACAAGAGAGCAGGGACACGGAGAGGGGCTGAAGGCGACAGCCAGAGAGGTGTGGGGAGGTGACACACGAGCTGAGATCTGGTGAGAAAGGGCTATGGGGGCTGGAGCTTTTCAAAAAGAGCCTGGGTGGAGAGCGCAGCCTGTGCAAAGGTCCGGAGGGCAGAAGGACCCCGGCCTGAGGAAGTGGGGACCAGCCATGAAATTTGTTTAGGTGGAGAGGAGAAAACATGAATTGGCAGGGGGTGCCATGCTGTAAACGCCGGGCGCGGATTTTACTCTGAGGGCCAAGGCAGGTACAGGGAAGTCCGGCATGGGGGGCCGGTCTGGTTTAGGATTTGAGACCGCGAGACAGAGCGTGACTGTCCTGATGGCCGTGGGTCTTCACAAGGGTGAAGACAGAAATGTCCCCAAGATCCCAACAAGATGAGGGAAGCGCGCGTCGCATAATCGGAGTCACTCTCCAAAGTTGGGTGATACCACGGGCCCCCCTCACCTGCTGTGCACTACAATGGCGGCTCTGGGCAGCCCCGTCCCCGCAGATGTAGAGAAGAGTCAGATTCGCAGGAGACGATGTGTTGGGGTCCCGGCGAGGACGAGGGGTGGGGGCGGTGGGGGCACTTTCCGGCAGCGAAGAAGGCGGGTGTCCCGTGCCAGCCTCACCATCCATTCCTTGTCAGGGGCTGTGCCAGGGGCGGTGGAGGCCTTCAGTTCCCGTGGGTCCAGAGGCTCGGGAAGGGTCCGCAGGATGCCTCCTCAGGCCCCACTTCAGAGAATCCTGAGCAGAATTTTCCCCCCAGCGAAGCCTCCCACGGAAGATGAGAGCCAGCCTCAGCCCACCCGTGAGGTGCCCAGGCAGAAGGCCAGGGCTCCCTCACAGAGGTTCATGATTGAGCAGCTGCTGCTTCCACTGCCTGGGCTGCCAGGCCCAGCCACAGTCCCACGCGGGTCGCAGGCTCCCTCCAGATCCTGGCCACCACGTCAATTTGGAGGAAGCCTGGGAAATGTGGTGAGAAGAGGGTTGGCCACGGCATTGGAGAAGGCCCAGCTGCTTGCAGTTGTCCAGCAACACACTGCCCGGCCCCACCAAGCATAGGCGTCGGCTTGCCTCACCACCTGGAAGAGTCCTGGATGGTGGTGATTGCTGATGGTGCTGGCCAGCCCAGGCTGACCGCCGACGACTGACAAAGCGCGCCGAGAGAGAGGCTGCTGGAGGGGAAGGAGGGGAAGGAGGAGACCAAGCCTGCCTGGTGCCCCCAGCCCCCGCCTCCAGGAGACTCTCCCAAGCCCCGTGACCATCCCATCTGGAGGAAAGCTAGAGGGAAAGTGGTCCCTGCACCTCCAGGATCCAAGCAGTAGGTTTCCTGAGAAGGCTAACTTTGGTTGCTGGGTCTCTCAGACTTGAGAGGGTCAAGTGATCAAGCAACCAAAGTACCATGGACTGCCCTTGTTTTCTACTCCTCCCCCAGAAAGTCCCCACGCCCAGCACCCAGCCTGGACTCTCTCACAAGCAAGTTCCACCACCTGAGCCTGTCCCCGCCATCTCCCCTCCAGCCTCTGTAAGCCGCCCCAAGCCCACCATCACCTCCCACATCAGTTTGGAAGGTAGTCCCCCAACGGGGCCATTAGCAGACAACGTGTTGTTGGGTTCAGGGCCAGCCTTCAGGTCCACTTTGGGAAACCTCCCCATCCTCCCTTCTCACAGTGTGTTTCCCCTGCACCAAAGCCCCTGTAGAAAGGCGGAGCCACCTCGGGTCATGGTCTGAGCCCTTCACCCTGAGCTCCCCTGGGAAGTCAAGAGGATTCACCGCCGTGATGCCTGGTACGCATTAGGTCCGTACACAAGAGGGGCCAGGATTCTGTGTTCCTCCTGTCTCCCAACCTGAACTCGAGAAGTGCCACCATGAGGCAGATTCTTCCACTCACTCTAAACATGAGAGGCACCTGGGTGCCAGGTCCACTATAATAAACAGACCCAGCGGTAACCCAGACTTAACCCTTCTCCCCCTCCATCTTCCTTCCGCTCCTTCTCCTCTTCCTACCCCTTGCTCACTCACTCCAGCCACAGGGCCCTTCTTGCTGTTTCCCTGAAGACACCACTACCTGGTGCATGTTTCCTCCCACTCCCCAGGGCGAAGTATGCGCTTATGTTCTCGTCGCTCTGGGACCACCTCCCCTCTGCCAACATCCACGCGGCTCCTCCCCCACTTCCTTTCGGTCGGCTCAAATGACACCCGTCTGTTACTGACCACCCCCCTGTCTCCCCCTCTCTGGTCCCTGCTTTGTTGCACTTATCAACACAGCACTTACATTGTCAAAAGCCAGACCTACCATCTTGCCCCTGGGCTATCTCTTTCTGCTCTAGGTGACAGGAACTTCTGTCTGTTTTGCTCTAGGGCCTGGAGAGACAGATCAAGGCCCCGCCCCACTCTCCTGGAGGGCAGTGAGCCTGCCACAAGCAATCCCACAGGACAGTCTTGGAGGGAGAGAGAGGCGTCTGGAGCTCCCGGGCCGGGCCTGAACCCCACAGCCCACGAGAGCAGCCAGCCTGAGCCTGGCAAGATCTTCGGTGAGAGGAGAGGCCGCCACACGTGAGCACGGTCTCAGGGCAAGGCCACACTGAGAAGAGGCGCAGGCATAGGGACAGCTGTGAGGAGGCTGCTCCCCAACCGGTTCCCTCTGGGTGCCCGCCCTGTTACTCTCAGGGTGATGACGGCCTCCATGTAGATGAACACCCCTAATCGGAGAGCCCTGCTCATCGAAGCCCCTGTTCCCGCCGCAGGTTAACATCGAGCAGTGTGGCTTCCACGCCCGCCTTGGCCAGGCCCAGCCACAGCCCCACGAACTCAGGCTGGCACTCCAGGAGGATGACCACCACGTCACCAGGGGAGGTAACCAGGGGAAGCGACATCTGCATCTGAGCAGGAGCCTGGCACATAGTAGGTGCTCAGTAAACAGAGGTTGAAGGACTGCTTTCAAGCCCCTGACCCTGGAGCCCAGCATCCTGCCCCTCCCTGGCAGCCAGTGCAGAGGCCCAGATTTCTTCAGGGCCCCAGACCTGAGCACCTACTTTGCACAGGCGAAGCTGATCGGGATCAGGTGTGAGAAGTCAGATCGGTGGAGGAAGGGGACGGGGGCTGGGGTGGCCAGGGATACTGATGGCAAAGGGGCAGGAGTCATCTTGTGGGGAGATGGGAACGTTCTCCAGGACCTTTGCCCGTGCGGTTCCCACTGTTGAAACATTCTGCCCCAGAGCCCCCCACCCCCACCCCCATCAGGGTTCCTACACATCCTTTACCTCTCAGCTCCAATGTCCCCTGCCTGGAGAGGTCTCCCCAGCCCTGCCTAGCGTGGATCACTATATAGCTGTTTGAAAACACGCTTGCAAATTCTTTGACTGTCGTCCCTTCAAAAAGCAGGTCAGGTCCTATTTTCCCCACCCCGCAGGAGTGGGCAGACTCAGGGACTCGCTTCTAATGAAGAGAATGGGGCGATAGTCATGCTGTGTGATTTCCGAGACTGGGGCTCAGAGACAGCACCTCTCCTCCAGGCGCGCGGATGTTCTCACACTCTTTCTGGACACTGGACCTCGGAACCCAGCGCTGAGATGTAAGCAAAGGAAGCCAAGACCACATGGAGAGGCCACGTATAGGGGTTCTAACAACATGTCTGAGTGAACAGAGCTTTGGGTAATTCTGGCCCCGGATCCTGAATCTTCCACCTGAGGCTCCAGACACAGCAGAGCACATAAGATGGTGACATCTTGGCGACATCTGAATTCCTGACCCACAGAAGTCACAGGAAAGGATACTGATCATTGACTTAAGCCTCTAGGTTCTGGGGTAATTTGTTACACAGCCATGGAACTGACGGGTAACTGATACACTCCCAGGCCCTGTTTCACTCCTTCGGAGCTGGTCATCACACTCTAAACCCGTCATCTTCCTTTACCGATTTCCTGAACTTTTTGTTAGTTTCTACGAGAGCGAGCACCCAGTTTGTCTGTCTGTTGTGTCCAGGGATACGGTTCCGGGACGAAGCACAGGACCTGGAACGTAAGGACGATGCTGGTATATCCTATGGGCGGACTCAAATGCAGCTCCGCCTCTTTTGCCTGCGCACAACTGTACTTGTTTGAAGAGCATCCCCCCAAATTCGTGTCCACCGGAAACCTCAGACCGTGACCTTCTTTGGAAGTAGGGTGTTTGCAGATGTAATTAAGGGAAGTATGAGATGAGGTCATCCCGGCTCCCCAGTGGGACCTAAATCCAATGACAGGTGTCTTTTTTTTTAATGCCTAAAAACAATCTTTTTTTTAATGTTTATTTACTTTTTGAGAGAGGCAGAGACAGAGCGTGAGTGGGGGAGGGGCAGAGAGAGAGGGAGAGGGAGAAACAGGATCCCACGCAGGCTCTAGGCTCTGAGCTATCAGCACAGAGCCCGAGATCGTCACCTGAGCTGAAGCCGGACGCTCAACCGACTGAGCCACCCAGGGGCCCCCAGGTGTCTTTTTAAGACAGAACACACAAACACAGGGGAGGAGACATGGGGAGACAGAGGCAGAGACTGGAGTGACCTGGTCACAAGTCGTGCGATGCCCGGAGCCCTCAGAAGCGCAGCCCAGAGGGAGGAAAAAGCGGCCTGGAGTTCATGGCCTTAGTTCAAATCCTGTTCCACCGCCTACCAGTGGGGCCTGGGCGGACGCTGCCCTCTCTGCAGGCCTCAGTTTCCTTACTTGGAATATCAGGAGACTGAAGCCAACAACCTCCAAGGTGTTCTCCATCCAGCTCAACAAAGTGCCAGTCCCGCCACTGCCTTATTTACAAGCAGGAAGTGGGGCCCAGAGCAGCAATTCTCAGCCTATTGGGTGTGAAGTGTGTTAAGTGCCCAACCAAGAAGAAGGGCCGAACCAAAAGGGATCCATTGTTACTCTGCCCAGAGAGATCCCGCCTCTGGGCTTTGTAAGTATTCTTCTACCCGAGTGCTCTTCCTCTCCCCAGGTCGTGGCAAGGGTGGCCCCTCTCATCTGCCCACTTGTGCAGGGTGCCCTAACCACCCTGGTTCAAGGAGTCCCTCGCTATCCCCACCTCGCCCCTACATGTTCGATCCTTCTGGTCACTGTCTGATGTTTTATCATTTCCTTCTCGGTTATTCTTTTCCCTCACTAGGCTGTGGGCTCCAGAGGACGGGAGAAGTATCCGACACATTCACAGCAGGTCACGGTGAACATGGCGTCCCCCCCAAGCCCAGATGGGGTGTGGCTCCCAGGAGGTCCTTGGGGACGGATGGAACAAATGACAGTGGCCAGAATCTGACCATCTCACCAGCCCAGCCTGGCCCCCACCAGCACACAACGGGACCCGTGCCCTAGTCAGCTCTTCGTGGTTTCCTGGGTCTGCTCTGGGCCAGGCCCCACTCCCTGCATAATGGGGTGAATGGTGGCCCTCAAAAGACAGACCCAATTCCTGGCCCCCAGAACTGGTGAACGTGACCACATGTGGAAAAAGGGTCTTTGCAAGGGTCTTTGTGCAGGATACTCCTCTGCTCAGTGTTCAAAGCCCTGGAAATCTGTCTGCTGACCCCCTTGGCTCCTTGAACTCCAACACTGCCCAGCCCATACACCTCCCTGCAACACATCAGCCCCTTTCCCACAATCCCTGCACCATGGGACACGGCAGTCCCACGTTGCCTTTCCTCTACCCAGAGAAGCTGTCACTGGCATGTGATGGCTGGAACCACCGCAGGCAGCATGAGGGTATGAGGGTACCCAGCTGGAGACGCCAAGCCTTTGCAGCATAAAGCCCGAAGGAACCTGGGTCAATGACAGCATGCCGCACTGGGAAGTGACCAACCTGAAGCCATCTCATGTCGAAACTCCATGTTACATGTGGTGGTAACTGTTCTCTACTGCCAATGCCACTCCTAGTGGAGATTCACGCTTCTCACAGCCAAAAACCTCCTTCGAGAGTTTAGCTCCCCGGAGGGGCTGATCCACTCGTGCGCCATCCCTCCACGGAGCACCACCACGTGCTGGACATCACGACAGGGACAGCGACACCAGGTGACTAAAGCGGGCGTGATCACCGTCCAAATGGGGTTTACAATCTAAGGAGGGGAAGGGAACTCATAACCGAGGAAAAAAGCGAAGAAAACCGATGATAGTTTGTTTTTACTGTTTTATTATTTATTTTTGAGAGAGAGCAGGGGGGAGGGGCAGAGAGAGAGAGGATCCCAAGCAGACTTCGCGCTGTCAGCACAGAGCCCGACGCGGGGCTCAAACTCGCAAACCGTGAGATTATGACCAGAGCGGAAATCAAGAGTGGGACACTCAACCAACTGAGCCTCCC